TCATAAATGTTTTTCAGTGATTTCTCTTAGAGTCTATCAGAAGAAAGCTGCAAAGAGGTTATCATCATCACAAAATGAATCACGAACAGAAGAGATTGTTTTGTCCATTATGTGATTAAGAGAACTGAGGGGTTCTCTTCCACGGTTAGAATGACCTGTCATGGCCTAAATAGAGTTCAGTTTGTGACAGAGTTCCTGTCCTCTCGTCAGGCCTGTCCGAGGCCTGCTTCGAGGCAGTACATCTTGTTTCTTCACTCGAGGTGACCCCTACAATACTATAAATATAATATTTGTTGTCTGTCATTGTAACTGGGATAATTTTACTTATTAAAGCTCATGATCTTACCACTTGAAACATCACTAGCCCTGAAGCTGCTGGTAGACATTGCGGTTGGAATTATCAAAGGTTTTTGACACCTGAGAGACACCGTAGCAACTCCTTTGTGTTTGGAAGCAGGGGGTGGGGGTGAGGGGAGGACCAGGGAGGATGATTCAACCACTCAACCACTAGATGTCGCTGAAAACAACAAATCCTACACACTGTGCCTTTAAGATGGCAGAGCTTCACTTTATTTATGGCCCACTATGACTGGGTACTTTCTCAACAATCTGATCAGAAATTAATTTTTCAAACATTTTCTTTTTCAAACCAAAGCTGTTTAGAGCAGATAAAATGTGGACTTTTCGTAACTTATCTGGTCTATCCCTTCCACAAAAACAATGAAAGAAACCAGTAGAACGAAACCTTTTTATATATATTTAAATGTTTTTGGGATATTTCATGTACTGCTGGAGTTTATAAACCACTTAGTTTACCAGTTTAAACTGGATACACAGGATGGTTTGTGATGCCAGTTGGCAGGAAGCTGACAGTGTCATCTTGTAATGAGTCCTGTAATGAGAGGAGGAACGGAGACAAAAAAGAAAACCCAGGGAGCGGACCTCCTCACCCACCTGTCAGGATGTGCAGCATTACAGGAAGTGCATTAGAGAATCAGTTTTGGAGCCACGCGGCTATCGGTCTCCGTTATTAGCTGTGATATCGGGTATCATTTGCTCTTCCCCCCACTCACCGAGGCGCTTGTTTCATTGCGATGTCCAGGTTTTGTTTAACAGCAGCTGAGTGTGGAGGTGAAGCTGCTGAAATCACTCTGACATGTGTAATTCAAACGTCACTGCACAGCTCCCAAATGACTCCTTTATGCAGGATGCAGAAACGAGGGAAATGAAATTTGCTGCATGTATTTTGTGGGTAATTCTGTGCATTGCCCTTTGCAGTAATAGAATTGTTCCACTGAGTGTGGTTCAGTAATGTGGCCCCTCGCCGTCCCATCAGGGAGTAGGAAAGCAGCTCTGATGAAAATGACCTAAAGAGGAAGTGAAGCAAAATCATTGTGGGCTTTCATCCTTGACAAGCGAGAGTGAGGTGGTTCCCCCAAGTGGGTTTGATTTCTTGTTTAAGAAACCATCAAATATTCATCAACTGGGAGGGGGGTGGCATTGTGCCCCCAACCTTTCTGCCTTGGTTGTGTTTAGCCTGAGGTGGGGCTGTGCAACCCACCCAACTGTAAGCTCAGTAAGTGAATGCACTGAAACCATGAGGTACATAGAACAGCTGGAGTGAGTCTTGACCGATTGATCTACTGTAGAAACTACAGCRCTAAGCAGAATGGGTAAAAGACTGGATTTAACATTACTGTACATGTTGGCAACATAAGCAAATAAAGGACTGATGATGTAGAAATCCTAAAAACTATTATGATAATATTAACAAAATAATTATTACAGTGTGTATATAAGTTATCTAATTT